AATATGGGTCAGATCACAATTAGATATTTTCACCAAAGCATCCAGCTCTACATTTAGGCACAAGATTAAATGTACATTTGGTTTTGGATCAAATGTAAGATTATGAAAAATGCATATTAAGTTTGGTGCGTCTAAACTTTTGGTGTATATGTCAGGAGTATAAAGGCATCTTGTTTTGCCTCTGTATGCAGTCTTGCACTTTTCCATTGAGTGAACACATATTCGTGGCTTTATGCAGGTGGCTCATTTCCTGATGTAACTGTAATTAGACAAACAAACTAAAAGGAAGTGAAAGAAGTTAATCTTATGCTACAGATGAGTAGTTTTAGCTTCCAATAAAATTTTCCACTTTTCTGCAAATATAGTGCATAATTTTTATTGCTTTATTTGAGTTGGGGTGGGTGCAGAAGAAACCTAAAATATTAAATGTGCTGTAACATTTCCACAGCTAAAATTTTAGGTCATCCCACCTCACCTCCACCCCATACATTAAATTTTAATTGTGTATTTATTTAGGACAGAATTTTAGTTCAGTGTTGTTATCTGCAGCAGGCACTGCATTGCACAAAAGTAAACCCTGATTAAAATCTTATCAGGTTTGATACTGCTTCATATAACCAGCCATAGGTAACCCTTCAGTCTGAAGCCCTGCATGAACAACCAGTTCATATAGAGTGACCACAAAGCTATGTCAGGGTATCTGCTAAGATCTACAATATTAAACAAATGCATGTACTCACATAAAACAGAAATATATCAGGCAGCGTCACATGTTAAAAACAAACTAATATTGGATAGCTGACATCTGATTATGGGCTGGGCTTCTGCAGAAGTGAGACACTGCTGCAGCTCAAGCAGGACAAGGGCAAGTTACAGAACAGTTTAATTTATTGTAGTCATAATCCTTATTAACCACTTAACCATATTTTTAAGTAGCTATGATTTTCATTGTGATATTTGCAGCCCAATCATTAGTGTTCATTAGTATCATTACTATATTTACAACCCATTTCCAAAAAAGTTGGGACGCGGTGCAAAATGTAAATAAAATCAAAATGCAATGATGTGCAAATCATTTAAATATTACAAAGACAACATATCAAATGTTGAAACTGAGAAATTTTACAGGTTTTTTCAAAAATATGCACCCATTTTGAATTTGATGCTAACAGTACGTTCCAAAAAATTGGGACAGGGGCAACAAAAGGCTGGTAAAGTTGTGTAATGCTGGAAAAAATGGTGCTTAATTGGCAACAGGTCAGCAATATGATTGGGTATAAAAAGAACATCTCTGTCTTTCAGAAGTAAAAATGGAGATGGGCAGGCAAATAGTGCAACAATTCAAGAATAAGGTTTCTCAACGTAAAATAGCAGGATTTTGCCATCTATGGTACATCATATCATTAAACGATTCAGAGAATCTGGAGAAATCTCTGTATGCAAGGGACAAGGCCGAAAACCATTACTGGCTGGCCATGATCTTTGGGCCTTCAGGAGGCACTTCATTAAAAACAGGCATGATTCTATAGAGGAAATTCACTGCATGGACTCAGGAACACTTCTGAAAACACAGTCTCTGAACACAGTTCATTGCTACATCCACAAATGCAAGTTAAAACTCTAAAATGCAAAGAAGAAACCACATATAAACAGGATGCTGCCACCGTCTCTGGGCCTGAGCTCATTTAAAATGGACTGAGGGGAAGTGGAGAAGGGTCCTGTGGTCTGAGAAATCAAAATTTAAAGTTCTTTTTGGAAATCATGGACACTGTGTCCTCCAGGCTAAAGACCGCTCAGTTTGTTATCAGTGCACAGTTCAAAAGCCAGTATTCATGATGGTATAGGGGTGCATTAGTGCACATGGCATGGGGGATGTGCACATCTGTGAAGGTACCATTAATGCTGAATGATCATTGCAGGTTTTGGCAACATATGCTGCCATCCAAATGACGTAGTTTTAGGGAGGACCTTGATTATTTCAGCAAGACAATGCCAAATGCCAGTGTCATTGTCATTCCTCTGTATTAAAAGAGTCCTGGTGCTAAACTGGCCTTCCTGCAGTCCAGACCTGTCACAGACTGAAAAAATATGGCATATTATGGAATGAAAAATACGACACAGGGGACCCCAAACTGTTGAGAAGCTGAAGTCCTGTATCAAACAAGAATGGGAAAACATTTTAGTTTCAAAACTACAGCAGTTGGTCTTCTCAGTTCCCAAACACTTACAGAGTGTTGTTAAAAGAAGAGGCGATGAAACACAGTGGTAAACATGCACCTGTCCCAACTTTTTTGGAATGTGTTGTTAGCATCAAATTCAAAATGGGCATATATTTTTTGAAAACCAATTAAATTTTTTGATATGTAATTTGATATGCTGTCTTAGTAGTATTTTCCTTTAAAATATGGTTTACATGATTTGCATATCATTGCATTCTATTTTTATTTACATTCTGCACAGCATTTTAGAAATGGGGTTGTATATTATGGTAGTTTATGGTCTTAGATGCAGCATCACTCTAGCTTGAGTTAATTTAGTGTTGGGACTAGTGGCATCAGAATCAAATCAAACAGCATTAGAAGGATCCACAAACACATTTGTTTTAAAACCTATAGATAGCATGCTTCAGAATTAAAAAACAAACCTTTGGATTACTATGATAATTGAAGTTGCAAAATATGTAACTTATTTCATATGTTAATGCTATTTTAAGATCTTATTTTGACTAAACTTATTGCATGCTTCTTTTTACCATTTAATACCCTGGCAGATAATAAATGTATCAAATAAACCACTCTGGTGTAGAGAAGAATTAATTTTACCACATTTATTACAGATATTTAGGCTACAAAATCTTTGGTTCCAATAACTCATAGGCTAAATAAATGTACACCCCCCTCCCCCCAGATGTTCCCGTCAACAAGAGTTAAACACTGAAAACTGTGAGCTAAGTTAGCCTAAACTGTTTTCATGAAAAAGTAGAATGGCCTTATTTTTGTTTCCTATTTTAGAATAAATAAAATCATTCATTACATTTTTAATTTCCCTCTCTGTTTGGAAAGAGACATTTATTATAATATATAATTATATAATTATTATTAATTTATGTAACATCCTGTCTCCCTTTGTCCCTGTCTTTTTCTGTTTCTTCCTTTGTTTTCTTGTTTCCCATGACTTTGAGTTTGTTTATATCTGCCATGTGCCTTTCTTTTCCCTGCCATGTTCTTTTTTAGCTCCTCCCCTGTCCTGCCCTGTCTTCACCTGTTCTTTTTTGCCCGCTTTTTTCTCAGGTGTTCCTTGTTTTCTGTGTTAGTATTTACACCCCTGTGTTTCCTTTGATCCCCAGCCAGCATTGTTCGATATTTGATGTTGTTGCATGTTCCTGGTTTAGTTTTGTTATATTTGTGTTCCTCTTTCCCTGCTCGTGTTTTCTTTTTGTTTGTCAAGACTTTACGTTTCTTTTTATCTAGTCATTTAATTTTCTTAGTAGTTCCCTTTGTCACCTTTTTCTCATATGTTCTCTATAGATCCTCATACTGTTTATCTTCTTGCTTGTAATTTGAAGTATCCACCTAAGGACTAATAAAACACAATTGCACTTGTACCCCATTTCCCGGTCTGCCTTGTCAGCCCATTTGTTACAATTTATTTTTCAAATAAAGTGGCCCGTATGACATGAAACTGAATTTTCCTCACTTTTTTTAAATAAATGTAGCATGGAAACATTGTAAAAGTAACAAACTTACCAGTCACTCAACAGTTCATACAGTCTATACATTAAAACATAAGATGAGGGGCTCCCGAGTGGCGCAACTGTCTAAGAATTAGCCCTATCATCATCGCGATCATGAGTTCGATCCCTGGTGATGCTACAGCCGTCCATAGCAGTTTAGCCTTACATCATTTAGACAAAACAGAGCTCATATATTGGTGTATTACTTATATCTGTCTTAAAGACACAATAATAAAATCTGGCTGTTTAACTGTAAGGGAAAATAGAATTTGGAAGATGAACATAACATAAAAATAAGTTGACTTTTTTGGTACACAAACCACAGAAATATCACAGACTTCACAGGAAAAAATAAAATCAATACATATAGTATATGGGTATGTTATTTGGTTAAGTTAAATGATTTCCTTAAATAAGCATTACTTACATAAGCTCGATTGAACTCGTCCATCTCTTTTATTTTGTCTTTTTAAAAAGTTAATGATAAAAAAGTACAAAAATGTACTTGTTTACTATGTTACTACATGTTTAACAATGTACTAAATCTAAGTATACGTTTACATTGTTTGTACCTTGAGGTACAAAAAATGGACCTGAATAGTGCCTTTTTTCTGACAGTGTAGGAGGATTTTCCTCATATATGAAATGCTAAAATATCTCTAATAAATAAAGCCTGAATGATAAATATGCATATTTTATTGGATGAATACAATAAAAACTTGTGGTTTTATTGGAGTCACTGAAAAATACCATAGAGTCTTTAAAAGAAGTTTTTTTCAGTGGAAAGAACTGATGAAAAATCTAATGAAAACTTTTTGACTTCAACAAATTGAGTACTAAATTAAAATATAACAGTTGCTATTACTACACAGTAGTGCAGTGGGTAGTGCTGTCACCACACAGTAAGAAGGGCCTGTGTTTGCTTTCCCAGGTGGGTGACCAGGGTCCTGTCAGACCATTGTCAGGCTCCAGCACCCCCACCCCCTGGCCTAGGAGGATCAGTGGGTTAGGTGAGGAATGAACTAATTAGCTTTTAACCTCTTGAATTAATATATTTCACACAATGTTCATATCAGTCAGTCCATAGTGAGTATTTATTTAAGCAGATTCTTTTACACAACAGATGGTCAGATTTTGTAGATGCTTACTGCTAATGGAAACTTTCCAGCAGAAACAGGTCTCCTGTAGTACATATTTTTCTTTTTAGTCAGCAGAAACCTCTATTACAGTTAATTCTATTGTCTGTCTTCACTTCTAGCTATACAAGATGGCAAATATTCCAGAAGTGTTGCTGAACACTCTTCAAGATTTGGAGAAGGATGACCTGAAAACATTCCAGTGGCATCTGATTAGTGGTGTGGAAGGATTCACCCCCATCCAAAAGGCTCCTCTAGAGAATGCAGTCAGAACTGACACTGTGGATCAGATGGTGCAGAGATATGGACACAGTAGAGCTGTAGAGATCACAATGGCTGTCCTGAAGAAAATGAACCAGAACCAACTTTCTGAGGAGCTAAGAACCAAACTCAAAGACGGTAAGGAAGCAGTAAAGAGAAGAGTTGAAAGAAATATAGTTACGGGCCACTGTAAAGAGAAGGGAGTGCGGTTCAGTTTAATGTGCAAGGTGGCCACTGCAGTCAACGAGTGCTACATAACCACTACATAACCAATTGTGCTGTTTTTAATGTCCCCGAGTCTTCGGTCAGAAGGAAGTGGATGGAGGAGGTGATGACCAGGATGGCAGGTTATCTTTATAGTCTTTCTAGTGCACTTACTGATTCTGCTCTTGTATATATCCTGAAGTGTTGGCAGATTACATCAAAAGAACAACACTGAGCTGACAATAAATGACAACAGTTAACCCTGAAACCTTTTAAAATTATTACAGAATGTACAGAATACAGAAGTTAAGTGTCTAAAGAAAAGAAAATTTAGTTGTTTAAGGCATTTATTTCATTATGTTTTTAGTTATACTTGTGGCACTGTGAACAAAATTAGGTACAATATTTATTACTGAAACAGTGCTCTATTATATGGAAGTGCCAAAATAAAATAACAGTACACTTGCACCTTTCTTCATATCAACACATCATGTACAAATACCACAATAAAAATTACCATCTAAATACAACAAAAAGTGCTTTAATAAAAGTTGCCTCATCTACGCTTATGGTAAACCATACACATTTTTATTGAAATAAATATAATCAAGATCATTAAAAAAAACATTGTTAAACTGAGGAACCTACAACAAAGGTAGAAACTGTTAATATTAATATCTTATTGTTTAAAGAAGGCTAGAGGCAAGCACATTGAATGATTCTGAAAAATATATACAGTCATGTGAAGAAGTAAGTACACCCCATGAAATTGGGCTCTTTTTTGATATTACATATCAGTATTTCATCTTTATTTAAACATTATAGAAAAACATTATGTAATAATAAAAAAACAATGGAAATATGACTTTGCAATCATGACTGATGTCATTTTGTTCTGTTGAAAACATAAGTACCTCCCTGGCCTAAGTAACTGGTATAAGCTTTCTATATCTGTCTATCAATTTCTGACATGGGCTTTTGTTTCTAGCAATATATGAGCCCAGGACTAGCCTTCTCTCTAACCTATTTGTAACTAGCAAAGATAATTTCTCTGGGTAGACAACAGCGTGTCACACGTCCCTCAGCCTCAGAGGCCTCTAGGGACTCCAATTCCCAGAATCCCCAGGGGGATCACATGGTTCTCAGTCCTCCATCTTGCTCCAATCACCGCTCTCAGTCTCCTGAGTATTAACTGGTTACACCTGTTCTAACATAATTAGTTTAGTATAAAGCCCGGGCTTTCAGTCTAGTTTCTTGCGAGGTATTGCTTCTTTTTCCAAGAGCTACTGAGCGTTATATTCTTCTCTCTATTGTGATTTTTCCGGTTTTTTGACTCTGTTTGCTGTTTTTGACTTTTGCTCTTTTGCCTTTGCCCTTTGGACTTTGTTTGCCCTATGTTTGTCTTTTGGTGTTGGTTACCTTTGCTGAATTTGACCTTTGCCTGTTTTTTGACCACGAGTTTGGATTACGACTCTAACATTAAAGCCTCATTCTCGTTTTTTAACCGCGAGCGTCTGAGTTATTCTGCCTCGTTACACAGCACACTTTTTGTAAGTCGCTCTGGATAAAAACATCTGCTAAATGTTGTAAATGTAAATCTAAACATAAATGACATGTACTGGGAGACATTTTGCTGACTCCTCCATGCAGAATTCTGAATACAGAACACGCTATTTCTTCATTTTGAGCCATTCCTGTCTGGATTTATTACATGTTTGGGATAATTATCCTGTTAGACGGTCCACTTCTTCAGCTTCAAACTTTGAAACTTTATTTTACAGATGGTCTCCCTTTTTCCTCAAGCAGTCTCTGGTATGAAATGGAATTCATTGTCAATTCTATGACTGTAAGTTGGACAGGCTTTGAGGCAACAAACTTCCACCACCGTGCTTTACAGTTGGTATGAGCTTCTTCGGATCAAAGACAGTCTTTGGTTTTCACTAAACATGGCTTCTGGTATTTCTGCCTTGATGTTCTTTTTAGACAGCAAATGTTTCCTCTTGGCATTTCCTTCCATGTAGATCAAATCTGCATAGTCTTTTTGTAATGGTAGATGTATGCACTTTACATGAACAGTGGCAAGAGCTACCTTCAGATCCTATTACGAAATGTTGGGGTAGTTAGAGACTTCTTTAAGCATCTTGAGTTCTGCTTTCAGGTTAAATTTGCTTGGAAGGCCTGGCCTGGACAAGTTGGCAGTAGTTATAAATCTCCATTTGTGGATGGAAAATGCCATAATTGATTTCCGATATTTTGGATTTTGGATATTTTTGTCTTTCTGAAGGCCTCAGGGAGCTCTTTTTTATCTAGGCATAATGATGTCCCAAACAAAGAGCAAACCAGACCAAATATGTGAGATAAGATATTCTCCAATGGTGTTCTAAACATCAGCATCTGAAAAGATGCACCTGATTTTAATTTAACATGTTTAAAGTAGAAATATATGTAAAAGGTATACTTACTTTCTACATTAGAAAATTGTTCAAATATATCGCCTTTATCCATCAACACTGTTTAAATGAAGACTTGATATCTGTATCTCCAAATATCTTGAAAAGGTCTAAACTTTTCTTGGGGTATACTTGCTTCTTTGGATGACTGTTAGAATTTTGAGATTGTGCTCTTGATGGCATTAACACAGTCGATAACAGACAAGGGAAGCAGTCTCCAGGTCTTAATATTTACACTTTTATCAATCATACCTACAAAGTTTAATCTAATCTAAAACGATATTAAGCCCCGGATATGTAAAGGGGTCAGCGACTAATTTAAGTGGCAGAGAATTTGGGAAATGAATTTAGGAAAATTGTAACAGCTTAGTCAATGTAGCTCAGTAAGTTAGGGACAGAAGTAACAAGATCATAAACACTTATCAACAGGTAATCAGCTCTCAGATTCACAAGGTTCTCGGTATTAACTAGCTATATACCATAGACATGAGGAAGACTCCAGATTCCTGTAGCCAGTAGCTCCAAACAGTCACCTTGGTTGAAAGCACACCACAGTTTAAAGGACCAGTCTTACCAGCTTTGGTCAATCCAAACTATGTTGGGACTAAATATAGCATTTTATGTAATAAAAGGGTCACCGAATCCAAACTATTTGAGTACCTCAAACATTTACAGATATTGTATCTAGTCAAATGCTTTTAGGGCATCTAATAATGGCTGCTTTGGTGTTCTTTTACTAAATGCCTAAGATTTTAAGAGGCTGGCAGACTTTGGAGAATGAAAACCAAATTGAAATAAAACAATTTATATAATAGTTAAAATATGTTCTCCCAACTATGGTAGCCAACACTTTTGCTAATACCTTTTGATCAAAATTTGATTCATATAAGGAAACCAGGAAGCCTCCGATTTTTGCTGGAAAAAAAAAGTTTTTTTTAGTTTTTTAGGCTGGTTAGTAGGATCCACAAGCAGGCTTTATGTGACAGGAACAACAGTAAAACACAGTCCAAAAGCATAGTCAGGGCAGAGCAGATGGTCAGAAATCAAAAATACACACAAAAGAGCCGAGGCAAAGAAATCCAAGACATAATTCAAAAATCAGAAGATCAAAAAAAACTACAAAGTCAAATAAATCACAGGGAAAAGACTCAGGAATACAGTGACACAAAGACAATGCTTCACAAATAGTGTTGGGAGAGTGTGAGAGTATTTGTAGGAGAGCTGATGAGAAGAGATTGGGAACAGGTGTGTGAGAGTGATTATTAGTATTCAGGAGATGATGACCTCAGGTGGGCAGTTTTGGAGTAGCACATGACACAGACCTGCTGCTTTGCCAGGTGAGAAGGCATTAAAAATAGCAGATTCAAAAAATCCAGCATAAAGATCATTTCTAGAGGCTTCAGTCAATTTCAGGGGGTCTGAACAGCTGAAGAAGAAATCATATCGTGTCATTAACTTCAGCTTTTTTGAGTGTATTTCAGAATAAAATACTTTGAAGTAGTCATTTATATCCTTTGGATTTATAACCAGTTATCCTGGTTTTAATTTAATCTTATGGATTATGTGTTTGGCTTGGTCACCTTTTAGCTGTCTTGTTAACAGCCCCTCAAGTTTATTCCCTAACTCAACCCCCATTCAGTTGCAGACATTTACCTTGTTACTATATAGGTTACTGTACATCTACTATTTCTTCTTCCATTGTGTAACTAAAATCACAAGAGACCAACCTATTTCTCATACATTGTGTTTTCTGTAGGCTAACTTCTGGCTAAGATTGTAGTATATTTAATTGATTTTCAAAGTTAACTACAATTGAGAAAAAAAAACAGCTTTATCCCGAAACCCACTAAAATGCAGCCTAATGTGCATAGGCTGTCCAAATACTGCTGTACTAATTGCATGTTCAAAATGGCAATAGCACATAATGTACTAATTTGGCATGCTATTTTGTGAGGTATATGTGGTTTGAGACACAATTGCAGAATGTACCCGCCTGCTACTGGAAATCTCTGTGTATTCGCAAAAGCTAGCTGGCAAGTAACAGAGAGAGAGCATTTAGCGTCTCAACCGTAGCACTCCAGCTAGTCACATGGTGCTAGGTACCTCAAAAAAATCTCAAGTTATAAGAGAGAGAAAGAGTAATTGTTGTGTGTGTGTGTGTGTGTGTCTGTGTGTGTTTATGTTTGTATGAATAATTGAGTGAGTGACAGAGAGGGCTAAAATACTCTTCTCTTTTGCTCTCTCTACTTATGAACTTGTCTCTTGCTTTATTTTAGCTTATGGAAATGACTACAGAGAAAAAGGCCCAGGGCTGGTGTCTAAAAGTAGTGCTTAGCATAGTTTAGTTTAAAAAATTACTTAATTCTAAGTTCTTTTCATTAGCAAAAGTCGCAAAACAGATCAGCTAAAATGACTGAAACAAATCTGTCGATTTCTGCAGGATCCTCCTTGCACTACACGTGATTATGTTTTCCCTGTTCATCACAAGGAGCTGACAGAAATGAAGAGATATTCACAAGAAAGTTTCTAATGACCCAGCTAAATAATTATTACTAAAACAGATTTTTTTTTTACTGTTTTCTGTTTCTGTTGTCTGCGCTCAGGTGGAGAAAAATGGAAAGAGGTAACTGATAAGAGTACTGCAGCCTCCTCAACTGCAACCCAAACTGGAGCCTCAGTTAATGCTCTCACTTCAGGTAAACTCAACTCATCATCACTGTCACCTTTACTACTGCATTACAGTGAAAAATATCTCAGCTTAAACACCATGGCCTGCATAACGTATGTTCTAACATATGCTCTCATTCTCTGTATTAGTAGTTGTAAATACCAGGAGTGTGAGGGTCAAGAAAAAAGCTAAAACGTTAAAGAAAGTTTTTTGGTTTCAGCACCAGTGTGATAACTTTCATATGTGTAACCCCAGATGACACACCAGATCAGCCTCAGGCGAGCAAATGGGCCTAACTTTTATTTTAGTTCAGTTGGCCCTTAGGGCAGACTTTGCCATCAATGGCAGAAATGGCAGAAAAAAGGGGATGACTCTTGAGAGAAAAAGGGGGGAGAGAAAATGAAAAAAGAGACTGATATAGTAATGTAGGTCCAACCAACCTAATCTCACCAATTTATTCCATATGGTTGGTCAGAACAAAGCTATAACAGCTTCTGGGCTTGTACCTGCTAGTTCTAAGTAGCCTAGCAGTGGCCACCAAAAGGCTAACTAGGTGTGCTATGTGGATGATTAAATAATTGTTTCTTAATCACGTTTCTAAAGACCTGCAGCTCTGCATGGTTTCAACTGTTTCTTGCCTTAAAACACCCAATGGTGTGCTGGGGCAAGAAACTCTTAAATCTGAAGTGCTGTCAATTAGCGCTGGAATAAATAAGCACCTTGTATGAACAAAATAAAGAGGGAAAATACAGCTGATTGCTACAAGCTAGGATTTACTACTGTTCTGAGATGATTCTCTTAGTCATTTTTAATCACCATACATGGAAATAAAGTTGTCATAGTTGGCCATTACTTTCTTGGGATTATGAAAGTTTGTGTAAACGTTTCTTATTTTTACTCACTCAAACTGGCTTATTATTTCAGCATGCCAGTTTACAGTTTGCTGCATTCAGTTTCTTTGCAATAATACGCTGAACTAATGTTAGATGTTTAAGCAATTTAGTTCATTACCATTTTGGCTTGCCTAGCTAGCACAAGATGACACTAGCATCTGCAAGCCCAAAGTTGGTATAGCTTTGTTCAACAACTAAGTTACATCATTTTACATAGGGAGAAATAATTTTAGATCAGAATAAGCGAAAATTAGTAATAATCTTTTCAAAATAATAACTGTAACTATTAGCATTTTGGACATTTTGATACTTAACATTTTGTTTGTGGATTTTAGTATTTCATTAGAAACTTTTGGCAGGAAAGTGCCACACAAGTGTGTTCTCTGTAGAGGATGTTTTAACTTATTTTTACTTTTGCATATGACTGTACCAGCCTATGCCAGTTTGGTGAATCAAACTCTGTCTCTACAGCAGCTGCCTCCACAGAAACAAAAAAGACAAAAACAAGAGTACTATTTAGTACTATTTATTTGTATTTTCATCTGAAAATATTGAAGGCTATATAAACTAAATTAATTGATAGATTCACATTGGGTTTGATGTGGTGGTTAAAAAAGGGGGTGCATTCTAGAAGCATAATGCATTAACTGCCCTCATAAACACTTACATTTATTTCATGATCTCAAATACACTCAATTATATCACATCTATGTCATATTACTCATTTATAGCGAAGACCCACTGAGGCCATATTTTCAGGGGTGCCCCAATACAAAATTGTCTAGTCTATGAAATAAAAACTTAAATAAATATTACCAATAGTATCAAATTTAAATTTATATTCTCTATTACTATTTACAGAAACTGTAACTTTTTCTGTTTCATGTCTAAGGCACAAAGTATTGTTGCCCATTAGCTTAGCTCACATTAGCTTATCAAGTTAACTAGCTAGCAAGCATGCACTCATAACAGAACATAAGCAGTCAAGTTAGGTTTAATAACACTAATATGCTTATTATTCTGAAACAACATCGTACAATGGACATTGTAGAAGAACACTGTACCTACTAGAAGAACACTACTGTATCTGTACATTAGTGCTGTACTGCTGGAATCTGAAAAAAACAGCTGAATCAGGGGTCTTATAGTGGGTCTGATTCAGTCATTGCACAGTGGGAGTGTGAGGCAACAGCGCTACGCACTGTGCCACTGTCCACAGAGAACGCTGATTTAGCCAATCTCCATTCACAGCACTCACAATTACTTTACTGGTGTTTAACAGAAAGGACAATGCTATCAGAACAGTGCAATTTTACTGTTAAAAGTTACTTCATTTAATTTAATAGAACTCTAAAATATTTATTTTAAATATCAAACTCTCTTCGTATTTATACTACTACTGCTTTCCACCTTCTCTGGTGATACCTGTTTCTGTAAATAACAAGTACATGAATTTATATTTATTTATATTCAATTATGTTTATGTAAATTTTATACTCTACAGACTGCACACTGTGCAGTGTATTTTATTACTTCTAGATGTTTTGGAATACACTACATCAGTTCACCAGGAACCTTAGAGACTCAGGCAATTAATGATGAGCTGATCAGTAATGTATGAGTAGATTTTCTAAGGAACTATAGTTAGAAACAAATTCTCAGTGATACCTAGTAGTTATTGTTTAGTTAATAGTGAAATACCCCAGTCGTTAGTTCATTATTACCTACTGAGTAATTAACTAGAATTCCTAGGTAGCTAATAGTAGTTACTGTTAATGCAGCATGACTTACTGATTAGTTAATATGTATCATTTCTGATTAACTGATTTAAAATTAAGAAAAGAAAGAGTACATGAATTGATCTGGGAACAGCCTTACTTTCTCCCTCTGTAAGCCAAGCTACACTGAGCTTGACTGCCTAAATCCCCTAAATGAATCCTTTTTTATATCAATTCTTAGGACCATTGTATGATGATACTTAAGTCAAAAACATTTAAGCATACAGTTTGTGTTGTACTGTAACTTTCTAATCTACATTTCTAATCTACGCAATGTCATAATCATATTAGAACATGATACTAGAATATGTGCTTTACTAATCTATTTACTGGTTCTTTGCTAATGCCACTGTGTCACTGGCAAACTAGGATAGCTGACAAGGCTTCAGGGTCACCATGTTCTTGTGAATATAAACAATGCCCATATGAAGTAGATAGAGAATTATCATTCAGGCTATTATTATTCATATTTCACAAGTAAAATCATAAGAATAATTAATCAATGAACAATAGGACACATAGCATGCATTAACTTACTTTGCCACATAGTTTGAGAAATAAACCTTAATCATTTCTTTTTTGCTAATTTGTGCCATCAGACTAAAGATATAGTTCACATAAGGTGAAGTATATACTTCACATAAGTATTCAACAGTTGTTTCATGTTCTTCTTTGTAATGATGACTAACTGATTTAGCTCATAAGAACAACTTTGTTTCTTATTTTTCTCACAGAAGATCAACAGCACCGCATTCAGTTGAAGTCCACCCTGAGGCTACTATATGAAAGTATACTAATTGGAAATTCACTGACAGGCCATACAAAGTTCTTGGAGGATATCTACACTGATCTCATTGTAGTGCAGAATGAAAGTGGAGGAGTCATTCAAGAGCATGAAGTGATGCAAATGGAAATGTCCACCAACAGACCTGCTAGTGAGGAAATTTGTGTCAAATGCTGTGACCTTTTCAAGGCCCAGCCTGGTACCAGAAGACGGAACAGAAAAGTGTTAACAATGGGAATTGCAGGAGTTGGCAAAACTGTGTCAGTCAACAAATTCATACTTGACTGGGTGAAGGGAGAGGAGAACCAAGACATAAACTTGATTTTTCCTCTTCCCTTCCGTGAACTGAATCTGAAGAAAGAAAAGAAGTTCAGTTTGATTGAACTACTAAATCATTGTTTTTTTTCTTCAAAAACTGAACTGAAGTCTCTTCCAGAAGATGATGGTAAAATTTTGTTTATCTTTGATGGGTTGGATGAGTGCCGCTTTCCTCTTTGCTTTAAGGATGGAGAGGAAGTAAAAGATATCAATGAAAAGACCTCATTGGGAACATTGATCACAAATCTTATCAACAGAAATCTGCTTCCCTTTGCTCTCATCTGGATAACTTGCCGACCAGCAGCAGCTCATCTCATTCCCCGGGACTACATCAATCTGGTGACAGAAGTACGAGGATTCAATGATAAACAAAAAGAGGCATACTTCAGCAAATATTGTAATGAGGATATGGCAAAGGAAGTTTTTTCACATATAAAGAAATCAAGGAGTCTCTACATCATGTGTCAAATCCCAGTGTTCTGCTGGATCTCTGCCACTGTGCTTCAGCCCCTGATGGTTCAAGACAGCAATAAGGACATCCCCACAACTCTGACAGGAATGTACATAAGCTTCCTACTCCAGCAGAAAAACTTAATGAAAAAGAAATACAGTGAGGAGACCAAAACTGTTGATGCTGAGCACATCATTTTGAAGCTTGGTAAACTGGCCTTCTGTAATCTTGAGAGTGGTACTCTGATTTTCTATGAGGGTGATCTTAGGAAATGCAGCATTGATGTCAGTGATGGCACTGTGTTCTCAGGAGTGTGCACACAGATTTTCAGTCAGCAGGGAGGAGTTTCTGAGAGGAATATTTTCAGCTTTGTGCATCTGAGTGTTCAGGAAAGCCTTGCAGCTTTATATGTGCATTACTCACACTGCAACAAGAAAAGGAATGCATTCAAAAAGGGGGCATTCTGGAACAAGATTAAATGGATGAATAAGAGAATAAAAGATCTTCATAAGTGTGCAGTGGAAAGAGCTTTGCAGAGTGAAAATGGACACCTGGACCTTTTTCTCCGTTTTCTCATTGGCCTCTCACTGGAGGACAGTCAGGGTATTCTAACTGAACTTCTGCCAAATCTGAAGATCAGAGCAGCGAGTGATAGAAACACAGCCGACTATATCAAGAAGAAACTGAATGAGGAAATGTCATCTGACAGAAGCCTGAATCTCTTACACTGCCTGAGTGAACTGAAAGACAATTCCATGACAACTGAAATCGCAAAACACCTGAAATCAGGAAATCTCTCAACACAAGAACTCTCATCTCCACAGTGGTCAGCTCTGGTGTTTGTGTTGCTGATGTCAGAGGAGACTCAAGAGAAATTTGAACTGAAGAAATACAGGCCATCTGATGAAGGACTGAACAGACTACTGTCAGTGGTGAAAAACACAAGAAATGCTCTGTAAGTATCATTTCCATTTTAATACTTTAAACATTTGTTAAAAAGTTCAAAAAATATTTATTTACTCATAATTCACATATGACTAAGCTACAGTGTTTTGCCAGCTTTTATTTTAAATTGCTCCACTGCTGATGCCTAGAAAATACGTTTATCAAATGTATCATTTTAATCAGATACTGTATATAGTTTGCATAAACTGTGCAAGATAAACAAGTAGCACAATGAATACAAATTTCTATGTCAAATTAGAACATGTATAATTATTTTTATAGTAATATATTACTTTATAATATTTTATGTATTATAGAATAACATAAAGAATATTTACATAGCACTTTTCTTATACCAAAGGGCACTTTACAGAAGTAACAAAGTGCATAATAGACAATAAATAAAACAATGCACAACACTTACACACAGTTCCTATGGTATAGTTACTTGGCTAGCCTGGAAAGTGTTCTTAGCCACAGGAGAAGGTCCCTCTCTGCCTGGGGGGCCCTGCAACAACAGTGTAGTGTCACATAGGCAGCTGGCCTGGAAAGCCTTGCACTCCAGAAGCACTGCTGTGTGTGATCCACTTGTCACAATGTAACACACACTAAAACTCACCACCACATCAGTGTCACTGCAGTGCTAAGAATGATTTACAACCCAAAAAAATACCTGCTCTGTGGTGATCCTGTGGGGGTCCTGACCAGTGATGAACAGGATAAAGGGGGAATAAATTGTGCAAAGAAAGAAGAAATGTACCTATATGACAATAAATGTAGGTACAATGTAATAAAGTGCCCTATAAGTGTATGTAACCCCTTTACTAGATACATATCCTAGTATGTAGTAACGGAAACTAAAATGATTTAAGGCAATTGGTTTCCTTAAACCATTTGAGTTCACTGAACTCATTAGGTTTTACAGTGCAGCGAATCAAATAAAATGCCTACTCAAAGCAAAGCATTGGTTCAAAGAGACTGAAAGAATTTGACAACAGATTCAACTGAGTCTGTACTTGTTTCTATCTGTGCTTTGCCAACACTGTTAGTTCTACCTAAAAAAGCATTTTACTTTATGCCTTGCCTGGAAGGCAGAACACTAAATAAATAATTCAGATAATTTAACGATATGGAGTGATATTCCATTCTGAAAAATTAACATTACTATTGACTCTGTACAATATAAGTTCTTTTGTTGTTAAAACTGAAAGAATCAAATTTGTTACTGAGCCAGGAGAACCTATTCATTGGAAAAGACCATTATGCTTGGAGGAGTTGAAGGTAAAAGTGGAAAAGGCTGAGCAGCTACAAGGTTGAGGGATATAATTGGAGGAATCATGAACCAGCCATTCAGAAGCCTGAAGACCCAAACAGAAGACGGGACATTGCAGAGACACTCTATCCATAAGATATGATGACAATAGTAGATAATACACTCACATCTTTGGAAAACGTCCTTCACCAAGTTTTAATCAAGTTCTTTAATAATACTTTTTCTATGCGTTTGCAATTATAAGATTCATCCACTCTGAGAACGGGTCCGGAGCACAAGCCATGTTACAAAATATTCTTGCAACTGAGAGGTCCCTAAATGCCCAAAACTATTGTGTAGTCACATTATCGCTGTCATTATTTATAGAACTATGTTATATTATGTAATATAACTTCATAACAGTGTAATTAATGTAAAGAAAAATCAAAACAAACATATTCACCATATAGAGCTATTAATATTGTTAAATATTAATTTCTCTACATTTATAGGTTACAGCAATACTACCATTTACAGTTGGGCCATTATTCACCAACATATCTCCAGGCATCCACTGGTCAAGTAATGCATGGATTACATGAAATAACATTTGAGTAAAAAACTTGAATTATTTTATGAATAAGCAATATTTCAAAGTCGTGCTCCCAATAGTTTTCCCCTTTTGTTTGGGTTTAGATCAATATCATTCAGAAAAATGTTAAATATTGAGTTCATCAAACACCACACCACAAGTGGAGACACTTTAGAATACTAGTGGCACAGAGCAACCACAGTGTCCACCACAGGAAAACATGACTCAGGCTGAATTTCTGACCTGCATCAGCCAGCAAGGACACTGGAATCACCAGCAGAGTCATCGCAGTCATCCCTCTCATCCTCCACCATCCCTCATCGCTTACACATATGGCTTTCTCAGACAAAATGGAGGAATGGGTATGCTGGGACTCTTCTCACTTGCCATCTCAACTACACAAGTTTTATCCAAAAAGCAAAGAGCACTGCTGTCCTGGTTCCTGCCCTTATTCAGAAAGGTCCTTTGGGCCACTTCAACTCTATCAGCAGCAGTCTTGTATATCGTTTCCTCTTGAAGCATCAAGCACAGAATAATGAGTGACTGCTAATGATGGCAGCTATTCTGAGAATAACTTGGGATCCCCTATGCCTGTAATGTTCTTTATTCCTGTGTTAATTATAAAGAGAAGGAATCAAGTGCATTTAGCTTGTGCAGTAAACCAGTCTAAGTTACCTGAATCACAACAAATTCAGACTGCACCAAGGGCTCCCATTATCTCCACAAAGTTAGCTCTCTTTAATATCAGATCTCTAGCCAAAAAATATTTTTTAGTTAATGACATTAAAATATCATACAAACTAGATTTTCTGTGTCTCATTGAGATGTGGCTAGCAGAAGAAAGCAGTGCTACTGTTTTCTGAGACTGCATCTACAAAATGTATGAATATGTGCTGTATATGTGCCAAGCTGGTAAGAAAAGAAGTGTAGTGGCTTTATTTAAAGATGCATTCCAGTGCAAGCCCAGAGATTTCACTTGGTAACTTCATTTTCTTTTAAATAATTTTTAAAGGTGCTGGCAAATGTGATTACAATGTTTTCATCAGAACTAGAGGTTTTAACATGCACACAGATAAAAACATGGACAGTAAGGCCAAAAAACGTCTTGCTTCACTTGACACATCTCTCTCAGCATGTATAAGAGACTATGTACATTTGTGGCCACATTCTAGATCATTCTAGTTATTTCTGAAGCTTTCAAAATTATGTCATTATGGTTAAGGACTTGGCCACTAAGTCACTCTTAAAAACAACTCTGGCTGCTCCTGGGTTGAATAACTATAGATCAGTCTCAAATCTTCTTTTATAAGATATCTTAGAAAAAGATAGAAAAGATAGATTTCAATCAACTTAGCAATTTTTCTTAACTTAAATATTTATTTTGACAAAGGCTTCTGACCTTACCACAGAAGCCTATGTCTGTTATAAATGTTGATATACAACAGAATTCTGACTAAATATCAGGTCTGTTTGTACTAGAAAATGGTTAATTGGGTTAGATCTTTAGCACCTATGAATCCGATGGGTGGTTATATGATGTTAAATCCCACAGAGATCAGTTCATGGACCACCTTTGCAAAACTTTTTATGTGCTCCTTTTAGGCTAAACAAAACAGCAGCATTGATTACCATAGTATTGCAGATAATACACAGATATATCCTGCTCTTTTACCAGATGATGACAGCCCAATAGACTCACTGTGTCAATATATGCAGCACATAAATAATTGGATGCAGTAACATTTTCTTCAGTTAAATAAGTACCAAACAGAGATTGATGTGTGTAACGGCAAAGGAAAAAGACTTCATGTTAGTAAACACCTTGATTCCCAGGCTGTAGTGGCTAAGTCCAAGTGTGAAATCTCACATTCACTACCCACATCAAAGCAATCACTAAAACAATCTTCTATCCCCTTAAAAATACAGCCAGAATCAAAATGTTCGTGTTAGCTCTTGCAGTTAGTCTGTTGGTTGGTGAGCTGGTGCACATGAAAAAAATAGACTTACTTTAAAGAATGAGTCAGTTTGGTAGAATTTGGCAGCCTCTACTTGAATATTTGCATACATCCTAGTTAAATCAAGTAATGTAAGGGTCTGATAGGCAGTGAAATCCTCAAAAAGCCAATGTCATTATAGTATAATGGTAAGACTAAAGCATGGTAATAGCTTTAATACATAAGTGCAATTCAAATTTGCTTTATCAATTACAAGCACATAAAGAGAGAAATGTAGTTTAAAGAGACTTTTTTCAGAATATATTGCCTTATTAACAAAATATATTTTAAATTTAAACCATAAAAACATGTATGTAAATGATTAAATATGTTTGAAAATGTATGAAAACAACCAACATAATTGTCTAATACACTTTATTGTTTGGAATACTTTTTAAAAATCAGTTTGTATTCCAGTATCTTAATTGTACGTATTAGCAAATGAACCTTTGACATGACAAAATTACTTACAAAAAAAGTAAGTTAAGTTATAGGTATTGATATATAAAAACTTTCTTAAAACTGTATGCAATTGAAAAAATATGAAAACATATAAATAACTGCAAATAAAAAACATCATAAATTACAAAAATGTATGTGATACATTTGGAATACATATTTAAATTGCATTTTATATATAATTATATCATATCACATTAAATCATATATAATTAACAAATGCATTTTTTGGCAATTTTCATGCACTGCAAAAATATGTTTGATAAATACAATTTTAAAATATAGTTAAATGAATTTTAAAAGTATATGCCACAAATGCATTTTTTCTTCATTTATAAACTGAGCAGAACTCTCAGGATAAAGTTGATCTTCTTGACTTCTAGTGCTAGGGAACCATCTCCCTTCTCAACTGGTGCCAGTACATCTGGAAACCAAGCTTATGGCTCCAGAATTCACTGAGTTTTCTCTCTCTCCCCTCTCATATGTACACAAACACACCTCACCTTTCTCACTTCTCATGGCATCATTGTGCAAGAAAAGGGTCAGGCTTCAAGAGCTGAGATAAAATACAGCAATGACTGGATACCCCCAAGTTTTTAACTTAGCATCTACATTCCACATTCCATATACTGCTCAATTCCCCATAAAATAAATCATACATTTACTGTTATTAATATTCAATCAATAAATACACCTTTATTAAAGTTATCTTTGTTTGGGTTTATGTAATGATGACATCTGGTTAAATAGTCTCTGACCATAGGAAGATCCCAGCCTAAATTGAAGATAAAAGTTATGTTTATGATACAAGTGTGTAATAAGTGTTTCTACATTATAAGCTGAATAACAGTAATTGGTAGAAGGACAACTGCATACTGCAGCTGACACATCCCTTCACTCATGCAGATATTCTGTTTTATTATACAATGACATCTGATACATAACACTGTTGACACCATGGGGACAGTTGCTATTTAAGCAGTGTGCTCTCTTGTGGATGTAGGAGACCAAAGTAACCTTAACTTACACATCAAGCATTTACTGCACACCTGGGGAATAATTAAAGTTAATTATCACAATGTTTTGTTCATAAAAAATTAAATGTATATTTTATAACTGATTTCCCCAGAGAATAATTCACAGTCTGGAAAAAACCCAGCACACATAATGGAAAGCTTACTCTTTTTGTAGCCTAAAGGGTTATTAATACCTCACAATAATCCATTGTTTCAAAAGAAAAAGAGAGAATATTACATGTACATATTGTTTACCCTCATTTAATAAACTGTTTAAAATTAATTATTATAGGTGTTGTCTTTTCATCACTTTGACAGAGCTTTTTCTCTTTCACATCTGTGCATCACTTTCATTCATATGTGTTTGTGTCTGTTTCATACACAGTGTTCTTTACACTGTCTAGCTGTTTGTTTTGTCTAATTGTAATACTGTTATCTGTGTTTGTGATCATATTCAACTTTAGTATGCTGTGTTGTTTACACTCGAGTGTAGGTCTAGAGACCCACAGCACTGCGGATATATATTCAGCCTTTATTGAGTTTAGTCATTTTGCTGTGCTGCTGTATTTTTTCTTAGATACCTTTGAATATATTGTAAAATTTGTTTATTCATTCTTCCTTTATAGATTAGCTTCATGTAATCTTGGGGTAAACACTTGTAAAGATTTGGAATCAGTGTTAAAACTGGAAAACTGCTCCCTGAAAGAACTGGACCTCAGTAACAATGACCTGCAAGACTCAGGACTGGAGCTCCTCTCTGCTGGACTGAAGAGTTCAAACTGTAAACTGGAGATTCTAAGGTCAGCTTTCTGAATAGTAGAAATTTGTAAAGTAAAACTGTAGTCTCAAAACATTGATTTCATTACTTAAGTTTTTTGCTTAATTTCTTGTGGCTACAGAATATTATGTTTCTTAATCTAACCATCTCAGTAATATAAAATATGTAAAATCTTAGCTAAATATTGTAAACATGACATTTGAAACATTATTTTAATTATCTCATTTGGCTTGTATTGTAATATCTATTTTATTTAATCTCACTTTGCAGACTAGCTTTGTGTAATCTTGGAAAAAAGTCCTGTGAAAATTTGGAATCGGTTTTAAAATTGGAAACATCTTCCCTGAAAGAGCTGGACATCAGTAACAATGATCTGCAAGATACAGGAGTGGAGGTCCTCTCTGCTGGACTAAAGAGTTCACACTGTAAACTGAAGATACTCAGGTCAGCTTTCGGAGTGGTAAAAATCTAGTAGCAGGAAACTGTAAACTCAAGACATTCATTCATTATTTAAGATTTTTTTTTTTCTTTATTTTCTGTGGCTACAGACTTCTATTGTATTTATTAACACAAAAATATAAGTATATTTTCTTACACTTCTTAATCATGCCAGTTTTTTAAAAGTTTGCCTGTATTTTTAGATCTATTGTATTTACTCTTGCTTTGCAGACTAGCTTTATGTAATCTTGGAAAAAAGGCTTGTGAAAATCTGGAATCAGTTTTAAAACTGGAAACCTCCACCCTCAAAGAGCTACTTATGAGTAACAATGACCTACAGGATTCAGGAGTGGAGGTCCTTTCTGCTGGACTGAAGAGTTTACATTGTAAACTGGAGATACTTGGGTAGGCTTTCTGTTAGTCAAATCTGGAACACAATGGAATTGATTTACATGCAATTTAGATCAAGATGAAATTTCTAATTAATTTAGGCTCACATTCCACCATTTTCAAAACATCTGCATCCTCAGTGAGATATAATGTTAATTGTGTAGTTTGAAGTGAAATGATTCATTTTATCAACAGTTAATCTTCATAATGGTGGTGAAAGAAACAATGATGACAATGTACTCAACACAAATATATTTTTTATCAATATGTAAAACTCAGCAAATACATACACATATAAATACCCAATTCCAAAAAAACTTGGGACAATAATAGAAAGCAGTGATTAGCCAATTCTGTTCGAAATGTATTACCTTTGAATTTTAAATTTTGATGGTCGTACTCAACACTCTCTCAGAAACACAAGATGAATATTATAGACCAAAACTGATATTGAAGGGGACAATATTTATGTCTTTGCCAAACTGAACTTTTCACTGATACTATGACACATAAACGCTATATTTAGAAAGGGTTTTCTACTTGTGTCAAATATATGTCAAGCTGTTTCCGATTTATGAAACTGAGAAGACTAATTAGAAAAATCTGCAAAATATTGACTGCATTGTTAAATGGGCTGGATTTGTAATGAAAGGGAAAAAGATAAGGCCTACAAGTGTCAAAATAAAAACACTCTCTTTCATCACATTAAATCGAAAATGTGGAAAATCTGGGTGCTTCTTTTACACTGATATTTGTAAAAGCTCAAAATTAGTGATTTTTTTTATTAAAAAAGAGTGTTGTAATTACTTGTGTCAAACTGTCATTTTTTGTTTGTTTCTGTTAAGTTCTGTTAAATATAGACATGCATCACTTTTTCAGTATGTATTTTCTTCTATCGCCTCTCTGCAGATTATCGGGTTGCATGATCACAGAGAAAGGCTGTTCTTCTCTGGCTTCAGCTCTGAGTTCAAACCCCTCATACCTGAAAGAACTGGATCTGACCTACAACCATCTAGGAGAGTCTGGAGTAAAGCTGCTCTCTGCTAGACTGGAGGATCCAGAGTGCACACTGAACAAACTCCGGTATGAAAAACTGTTTTCAAATGTGTGTGTGTTTGTGTGTGAATTATTGAAATGAAGAATGTACTCATCTGCTTCTTATATATTTCTGACAAAGCTCTCCAGCATATTAATTTATAAAGTAATAGTGTAACTTCATTAACTATTACTTCATAACTGTAGCACAATAACTGTGCATGATAGTATAATAATTGTACTCGATACAATTAAATGGTACCGTATACTGTAGTATAGTACCAGTCCACCATAATATAGTAATTGTACACCATTGTGTAGTAACTGGGCACTAAACTGTTGTGTAATAACCATGACTGTAAAATGACATGCTCTATATTGGAGTATCCATTGCAATCGTGGAACATTTTACTTGCCAAGCCAACACTTGTTTTGGGGCTGATTGTGAAACAGATCATGAACTACTAATATGCAAGTTCCAAGTGAAGTTGAGAAAAACCAATCAAACCATCAGATTTTCAAAATATGACCAAGAGAACATGCTTCCTGTCAAAGAAAAAATAACGAAATGATACATTGATAGATGATATGTATAACATATAACTATGCCAGTGGCGTAGCTAGGAAGCATTACATCCGAGAGACATTGCAATAGTGATATTGACAACTACCAACTCAATAACTAGCACACTTCATTGCAGCTTCTAAAATAAAAGAGGAAAAAATGACTTTGCATTTACCACATGCACACAACATGGTGCGTAGAGGCTAATTTAACCAGTCCAATCTTGTGCAGCAATAGAAGCAGATATCTAGGGCAAATGCCTGAAGACTGTGATTGTCTTATTGTTTTTAAACTATTTTATTTACCATGGACTAACCAAGATAGCAAGAGCACACTGGCCCAATGTTTGCTCAACACCATTGCTTATGTTGGCATAATGTTGGCAAATCATGCTGGGCCAATGACACTTTGGCTGGTCGGACTGTGATGGATAGCCATTAAGCCATTAAGCCATTGCTATCTTGATGATGAGCCTACATTGGCCTGATGTTAAGTGGATACCATTGTTAGACCTGATGTTGACCTGATGTAGGCCGGGCATCAGTTTTCATTTGTGGAGTCAGGGCTTGGAAAGTCAACATTAATCAGTTAAAAACTTCAATTAGAAAGTCAAAATTAAGAAAATGTAATCATTTATAATACATTTAATTACATTTAATTGTGTGATTATTACACAATTAAAAAGCACAAATCACAACAACCAAAACCAAACAGGGCACAGGCAAAAACATAGTCAAAAAACAAACAAAAGGGGTCAAGATACATGGTAGGCAATGACAGAGAAAAGCCTTGGTATGCTTGAAAAACAGGGGCAATACTTTGCAAAGAGTGGTGTGTGAAAACAGTCTTTATAGGAGTCTGGGGTAGGAACAACAGGTGTGATCTCTGAAGCAGTTCGTGGTTGGTGGACAGTGTCACGTGATCTCCTGGTGGATTCTGAGAGTTGGAGGCCATAGTATTAGTCCTTAATACTGCAGGACCGGAGGGTGGTGTGACAGGCTTATTATAGACAAATATGTGTTAATTTTTAACATTAATATTCTTAGATTATTGGGATATATTTAACCATTTCATATTATAATTAAAATGAGTTCATATTAGCAATGAAGCTAACATTAGTAATGGATAGCTTCACTAGCTAGCTTACCTTTGAAAATGAAACATCAGAGACAGAAACAAAACTGCCACTAGTCAGCTTTGTTTATTTTCTAGAAACACTTGAATGTTCTTAAACAGTACTGATTAATGAACAGCAAATATGAACAGATTTATGAACAAAATTACAAGTATTACTCAACAGAAATCATGCAGAGAAGCAGAATGGCAGTTGGGATGAATCCACTGAAAACATTTAAATGACGTGACAGCTCCAATCCATAGCTGTGAATCAGTTCATACCTTACAGAACCAGGAGTTTAGATTCATAAATCAAAATTGGGCTCAAGATGTGATTACTATGAGTATCTAACAGGAAAAGTGGATCTGGCTTGGTTTGTGAACAAAAAGCATTATTCTGAGTACCAAACATGTAATAAACAGTAGACTATATGTGAGAAGAGAAATTATTAAGGTAAACATAATAAACTGAATGACTGAATGGCCTGGAGTAGTTGCCCTGGTACCCAATACTCCCGGAGGACATCCCACAGAATATCTCGGGGAACACGGTAGTAAGCCTTCTCCAAGTCCACAAACAGATGTAGACTGGGTTAGCAAACTCCCATGCTACCTCAACAATCTGCGTCATCAGTTGATGATTAACTGAAATTACTTAAGCTACTTTCTATCATTAGCTAATGATATCATTAGACATCACGTAACTATATAGTAAATATTATTGCTGTTTTAAATACCATTACTTGATGTAGTGTTACCAGACAGAGACAGAGAGAGAGACAGAGTGAGAGAGAGAGGAAGGTGAGTACATGAGTATGTTAACATATGTGTGTGTGTGTTTATAGAGTGGAATATGGAGGTGAAAACAGAATCAAACCAGGACTGAAGAAATGTACGTATACACAAACGCACACAACCGGGCGCATACGCATGCACACATGTCATATTCTCTCCAAATGTGTGTTTCTCCTTCAACCTCCCTTCTTGTGTCTTGTGTTTCCCCCTCTCATCTGTCTTCTTGTATGTGGGTTTTCTCTTCTAATTGCTCTTCTTGTGTGTTTTCTCCTCTTATCTCTGTTCCTGTGTTTTGTGTTTTCTATTCTAATTTCTCTTTTTGTGTGTTGTGTTTTGTCTTTTAATTTCTCTTATTGTGTTGAGTTTTCTCCTCTAACCTCTCTTCTTGTGTGCTGATGTTGTTTCTACAATGCCCTGCTGGTGACATCCTGTATAAATAAACATAATTGGTGGCCATGACTTAGTAAGGCATGGGAACGAGATCCTAAAATGTGGCCACAACCAACATAGTAAGACATGATTTGCTATGCCTTAATCCTGTTCCCACGCATTAATAAGGCGTGACCAAGCATTATGTTTATTCATTTGGGATGTCACCAGCCAGGCTGCGTATGTTTCCATTAATCTCTCTTCTTGTGTTTTGTGTTTTCTCCTCTAATCTCTTTTTTATATGTTGTGTTTGTCCTCTAATCTCTCTTTTTTGGGTTTGTTCTCTCTTCTTACGTGTTGATGTTTTCTCCTCTAATCTCTCTTCTTGTGTGTTGATGTTTTCTCCTTTAATATCTCTTCTTGTATGATGTTTGTTCCTACCTAATCTCCAGAGGTGTGTATTTGAGTCATATGACTTAGACCTCAGCACCAGTGAATTGGACTATGACTTGGACTTGAGTGTCATGACTTGGAAAGACTAGACTCAAAATGTAAGAACCATGAAGAGTCTGAATGCAGACTCTACACAGTTGATTATTTTTCATATGAATGGATTTGTTTCCTGCTGTAAATTGAATAAACTGCAACACTGTCAGATGTCTGTTACTGTGCTTATGCTCGTTTTATTTTATTTCAGAAAGACAAGAGAAGCATTAGAGCTCAAGTACACCTCCATATGCTGGAAACAAATGAAACAGCATCAATGCACCCCCGCTCAGCACTTAAACTCTTACTATTGAAACTTACCAGGCAAACTGACCATTCTCCTCATGGTAGTAAAACAAAAGAATCACAGCTCTCTTTGTTCTACCAGTTTTAAGAACTTCTGCAGGTAAAAGAAGCGCCACATTCACCAGAAATCTGAAGTTGACTTCTTATTTGCCAGCTTCATATTGGAATTTGCTGTTTCACCTTAAATGGTGCAGCAGTTAGGTGCTGGAATGTAACTGCTGCACCATTTAAGGTGGAACGAAAAATTCTAATTGAATATATGAAAGGTGAATGTATGAAACTCAATTTCAGTTTCTTACATTCACCATCATTTTTCTGCATTTTCTGTAAACTTTGTTCAACTTGGTCGTTCAAATATTCAAAAAGTTCAGTGGTACTTTTAATGTACTATTAATTCTTTTCATATGTAATGTACTATTCTTGTGTATACCAGCATGCCTGTCATAGTTATGTGTGTTCATCTGTGTATCATATTTTGTATTTCAGTTGGAAGGGTAAAAAAATAATAATAATTCAAAATAATATATAACCATACAATACTAACATGCTGTCATAAAAAGGCTATAGTTCTTTGACCATTATTCAGTGTTATGGCCTTAAATTACCTGAAGAATACATACTGACTTGTTTTATGACTCGAAGATTAGGACTATTGACTTGGGACTCGACTTGAGACTCACCTATATTGATTCGGGACTTGAATCGAGACTCGACTATCTTCACCTGGGACTTGATTGTAAAGACTTGAGACGTACTCGTTACTTGCAACTTAGTGACTTGTTCACACCTCTACTAATTTCTTTCTTCTTGTGTGTTGATGTTTTTCCTATATTCTCTCTTATTGCGTGTTCTGTTTTCTTCTCTAATCTCTCTGCTTGTGTTTTATTGTTTCTCCTCTAATTTCTCTTTTGATGTTGATGTTTTTTCTTCTAATCTCTCTTTTAGTGTGTCATGTTTTCTCCTCTAATCCCTCTACTTCTGTGTTATTTCCTTCTTAAATCTCTCTTTATATATGTTGTGTTTTCTTCTCTAGTCTCTCTTCTTGTTTGTTGATGCTTTCTCTTCTAATTTCTCTCCTTGTGTGTTATTTGCTCCTCTAATTTCACCTATTGTGTTTATGCTTTCTCGTCTATATTCTCTTCTTGTGACTTGATGTTTTCACCTCTTATTTCTCTCCTTGTGTTGATGTGTTGTCCTCTTATCTCTCTTCTTGTGTGCAGATTCCTGTGAGCTTACATTGGACCCAAACACAGCACACATAGAACTCTCTCTGTGTGAGGGGAACAGAAAGGTTGTGTGTGTGGAAGAGCCGCAGTCATATCCTGATCATCCAGAGAGATTTGACTGCTATAAGCAGGTATTGAGTAGAGAGAGTTTGAGTGGACGCTGTTACTGGGAAGCTGAGTGGAGTGGGAGGAGGTCGGGGGATATTGAAATAGCTATGATATATAAATCGATCAGCAGGAAAGGAGACACTTGTGACTGCGGATTTGGAGGGAATACAAAGTCCTGGAGTCTGATCTGCTCTGATAACAGCTCCTCTGACTGTAATATTAGTTACTCTGTCCGTCACAATAATAATTTCACTGAAATCTCCACTCCTCCCTTCAGCTCTAAGAGAGTAGGAGTGTATGTGGACTGCCCGGCTGGCACTCTGTCCTTCTACAGCGTCTCCTCCGATACACACACACTG